AAATACATTGAATTAAACATTCAATTTTAAAGTAAAAGGCTGAAAAAGTATATTCTTGTAAAACATAGTAATCTTTGTTTTATTTGCAACTTCGAAAAATATTTTTTTACAGTGATGTTAGCTGAGTCCTAAAGAATAAAATACTGAAATTAAATGAATGAGAATTCAAATTGTACATTTACTTATTATATATCACTGGTGTTTATAATATACAGTGACAGATCAGCTAATCTCACAAAACGATTAGCAGTTGGTGTGTTAGATTGATATATATACCCGGATTTGTATAGGATTAAATCCTCATACATTTATAAAAACCATCTTTGAAATGTGTCCCACTGTATAGGTTTTATGTTAATAAACATATTTTTTTCCAAACACTCCCAAAATTCAATTTTCTTTCCCCAAACATTTACACACCTATATTTTTCATTTTCATCAGCTGTCAGCGTTCCCCTTCTGCCCTGTTATTATCACCCCCTGTAATGAATGTATTAAGATGAAGACTGTGGCTGCAGAAATTAACAGCAGGCATTCACTCAGTGTAACTGAATCGCAGGCAACACAGCAGTTGTTTATAACAGTTGTCCATGGTCCTTTGAGGGCAAAGAGGTACATAAGCTGTGGCGTAATATGTAAATAGTGCCTTAAAAGGGAACGCTTTTAGTTTGAATATGATTATTGTGTTCATCCATCGCATGAACTTTTGATGGTTATTATAGGTCAAGGAGAGTGACAACTGCTTGGAAGAACAGAATAAATTGAAAAAGTATAGGTTATTATGGGGCCACTAACTATTTAGTAATTAAACACTCCGTGTCAGGGGATGGCTAGTTGGTCAGAGGTTATTTAGCGACAATGAGTAGCTATAATAAGCATTACCCCACAATACTCACCAAATAAATAAATATGTGGGCATGAAATTTGAAATGTGTTCCGTTACAATGTACAAAAGCAAAAAGACGAAAAACGTTACAAAAATATTAAAATAAAAAATGTAGGTTATTTTCGTTACAATCAATAACTGAAATGCAAAGGAGTTTGAGTGAAATTAGAAGGAGCGAGTCTGTGGTGTGATACGAGAGAAATGAAATTCACTTTTAGTTCTGGAGGAGTGGACTGATTATTCAGAGTTGGAAAATGGAGAAAATTGGGAAATATCAAAGTGCGGAATGCAGTTACTGACCAGTCAGAATCAAGTATTCCAGATCATTGTGTAATATATAATATACTGCAGGGATAGTTAAGCCCCGTTCATCCAAGAACGATAACTATAAAGATAACGATATTAGCGTCCACACCAGCGAACGATATCATCTGTTTATTCTAAGCGCATGCTCATCTACCGCTTTAAAATCTGCAGCTCGTTACAGCAGGATGGATTCTGATTGGCTGTCAATGTTTGTATTGTTCATCAGCTGGAAAAAAATCGTTCTGGAAGTGATTCCAACGATATCGTTTCTCTGTGCCTTTATCATTATAGCTGTGGTGTGGACTCTGCTATTCTTTAATATTGAGAATGATTTTTACAACTATATCTTTATCGTTATCTTTATAGTTATCGTCCTTGGTGTGAACAGGCCTTTAAACTAAAAAAATGAAAATTCTGTCATCGTCTACTACTAAAGACTTTGGTTAATCTTCAAAAAACCCATAATAAGATATTTTAATATCTTAGAAAATCCAAAACTTAGAAAATCGGTCATAAAGGCATAGTAAAATTAATCTATATGAATCGAGCATTTTAATGATCACTTTATATGATGAACAGATTTCATTTAGGCTTTTACTTACATCTAAACAATGATCAACACATATGCGTAGATCACATATGGTAAACAACAAAGCTCTATGTATGTTAATATGGGAATAAATGCCTAAATTAAATGTTCATAATATAAAGCAATCATATCTCTTTTAAACCACTCAGTCATATGGATTTATTTTACAATTCCTTTATGGCCTTTTTGGATTTTCTAAGTTTTGACTACCTGTCTTTATGGAGGGACAGAAACCTCTCAGGTTTTATTAAAAATATTGAAGTTTAGAATATTAGCCAAAATCTTATTGGTTTGGAACAACATGCGGGTGAGTAAATGATGACAGAATTTTTATTTTTGGGTGAACTGTCCCTTTAATCCAACCACCGAATTCAAAATATATTCAGTTCAGTTCACATCTACATTCAGAGTAGCACTGAGGGAAATTACAACCTTCTGTATTTTTTTTATATCCAACACAAAATGGTATTTCCATATGACATGACCCAGTGAAAAAATACTGGGGATGCCCCTCTAGTAAAGCACACCACAGCTGTGAAATTGTGACGTTGATGGCAGGTCAGCCTCATTTAGCCTCACCAGGATAGGGAGTGAAGGTGAGGTTGATGGAAATGAAGGCGGGAGGGAGATGCTGTCATGCCCCCACCCCCACCAGCACACACACACACACACACACACAGAGACTTGAACCCTTGCACTGTGCGAGCGCTAAAAATAGGCAAAGAGCAGCTGGATAGAGAAGGCAAGTTGGTGAGATGTGTAAGTGTGCAGTCATACGCACACACACTATACATATACACTGCACTAAGGCACATACCTTAAATTTTAGCTCTGATTTCCTATTTAAGAATTCAATTTCATTGCTTTGACTGTTTGCTGTTACTCTTTTGTTCAGCTCAGGAGTGATATATCTGATAACTGATTTATATACTGTAATAATTTAAATAATAAAATATTTTATACATTTAGCTGTTGTATATTTTATATGTGACCCTGGACCACAAAACCAGTCATAAGTCTCAATTTTTCGAAATTGAGATTTATACATCATCTGAAAGCTGAATGTTAGGATAGGATAATATTTGGCCGATATTTGGCCGAGATACAACTATTTGAAAATCTGGAATCTGAGGATATATTGTTGACATTTTAATAATCTTATATAATTTTAATAATACAATATTTTATACATTATATTTTATATACTTTTTTTTTACATTTTAATAATTATTTTCTGCTCAGTTCAGGAATAATATATCCATGAACTGATTTACATTGTAATAATAAAATGTTTTATATATTAATACTTTAATATATTATATTATGAATATGTACTGTATATCCATATTTTGAAGAATGAATGTAATTATTTGTTACAGACCATCCTTTTTTACAGTTTCAGTTTCTCCCCAACCAACCCAAAAACAGCCTTCAAAGAAATTAAACAGTTACAATCATTGAAAATAAATAAATAAAAATAAGCACCTAAAATGAAAAGTACAGTAGTAATAAAATTAAATTAAATTCAATATATATATATATATGTATGTGTGTGACCCTAGACCACAAAACCAGTTATAAGCCATAAGGGTAAATTTTTTAAAGATTTATAATTCATCTGAAAGCTGAATAAATAAGCTTTCCATTGATGTATGGTTTGTTAGGATAGGACAATATTTGGACGAGATACAACTATTTGAAAATCTGGAATCTGAGGGTGCAAAAAAAAATCGAAATATTAATAAAATAGTTGTAATAGTTCTTAGCAATGCATATTTCTAATCAAAAATTAACTTTTGATATATTTACGGTAGGAAATTTACAAAATATCTTCATGGAACATGATCTTTACTTAATATCTTAATGATTTTTGGCATAAAAGAAAAATCTATTATTTTGACCCGTGCAACGTATTGTTGGCTATTGCTACAAATATACCCGTGCTACCTAAGACCAGTTTAGTGGTCCAGGAAATATATATTCATATTTCAATTAAATATTTTTATACATTTACTTTTTTAATATTGCTATAAAAGTGCTAATAGTGCTAATAATGATTGCGTACGACCAACATCCCCTACCTTTCTTTTGTTTAAACAAAGGAACTCTCTATTACTGAATCCCTTTAATATTCAGCTCTTCACTGAACTCTTCCTCCATTTCTTTTGATCCAGCTATAAGGCTTAAAAAACCCTTATTCACCGTCTTCGTCTGTATACCCTTCACGACAGTCCTAGTGGATGGCATACCCATGGAATGCTATAAATAACCCCCCGCTCCCCCATCGCCTCCCTCACACACACACTGACACACTTCCAACAGGGCTAGTTGTGAGGGGCGGGGCTGTCTGAGGAACTCTCTGTGGTTTCGCTACACCTCTACCCCGGTCTCCACATCTGGACCCACATGCTCTTTCCATTAACACATTGTGTAGACATGCTGGTTCATTGTAAGCTGTAAATTTTTTCCTTTTCTTAACTCAACTCATTAGCTTAATCATTAGGAATGTATGGAACTCCGCCGTTTGACCGATGCTAATGCGCTTTTCTCTGTGCCGCTCACAGATACCCCTTCCTGGTCGTGGTTGCCACAGTTCTGCAACCTCCGGGACCTCCGTAGACGCGCACAGCTCCGGCAGCTGGAGGATTCCAGCGGAAACATGGTGCACATCAAGCAGAGTCTCTATCATAATGGTCATCCCAGCCCCCGCCACCTCTGACTTTAACGGCAGTTTCCCCAAAACTGCTCCATTACCAGCTGCTGCCTCAGAGAGCCACTTTAATTGTTCCACTACATCTTTTAGACCTTCAAAAACCACTTGAGTATTTGCCAAAAGAAGAAAGAAGATTATCGTTGCCAATATGCTGATCTGTGTCTACGTTCGCCACGTTTGGCGAATGGTTTAGAAAGGGTTTTTTTCTGTACAGGCATTTTATTTTCAATTGCTGAATCTAGGCATGTACTTTTAGAATGGGGGAGGATGCAAGAAATGGTTTTGTGAGACACTGGGAGTCAATTCATGTTTTTTCCTTGCTTTTTCCCCCCACCTTTTTTAGCTTTTTCATCAGAATACAACTTTTTGGGAGGGGGGTGATAAGCGGGTGGGGTGGGAGGGTGGAGGTTATGGTTTTGTGATGGTATAGTTAGAGATTAATGCTCTTGTAAATAGTTATACATATTGTTTTATGGGATTTAAGCAAACACGGGAGTAGGAAGTTCTTAGAGACGAGTCATGAACTGTAAAAAAAGAGAGAAAAACATAAAGAGGAAAGAATTTTGAATGCTGATATGTGATATGTGAACTTTTTGGATGGATGAAAAAGAGATCACTCTAAAAAATGATCGATTAGCTTTGTTACTACGTGAAATAAATGAATGTATTCATTTTATCTGTAAATAAAGGAGAGTGCAGGAAGGTTGAAATGAGCGGTCAGGGCTCTTTTTGCTGTTTTGAACGTCATCCGTCGTATGTGAGAGAACTGCTAGCACTTGCCTTGTCTCTTCCCTACACTGTGTCCAATAGCCCTTCCTGGTCTGCTTTTAAACTACTCCAAACTCAAACAAGAACAACCAGCCTGCCAGCACACAGAGCCCTGACCCAATTTTCTCTTCCTCTTTATGTCCAGACAATGCTGTTGTGAAGATAAAATGTCTGTTTTATTAAAAGTGCCATTGAAGCACAACAGTGACCCCTAGTTTTGGGATGTGTCATTTCTCAACGACTGAAGGTGGTGTGCATGGGACAATCACATAACATTCATGCATGCTGAGGGGAAACGTTTCTGAGGTGAAAGTTTATGTTTAATAAGGACTCAAACTAAATATTGTATAGCAACCAGAGCCTGTGGTAACTGCTGGGCTTAAAACGGTTCTAATGCTGTATTAGGTGGAAAAAATTAGTATGAGAAAGTGATAGACACTTTAATACTTTCAGTTAAGAACAATTGATATGATACGATATTGATATAATATGACTGATATGACAAGATTTTTTTATTGCTTTTCAAAGAAATATCACCATTATGCTCACCAAGACTGAATTTATATGATTAAAACTGCAGTAAAACAGCTGTGAAATATTATTACAATTTAAAATAACTTTTCTATTTTAATATATTTTAAATTGTAATTTATTTCATGAATTTTTAGCATCATTACTCCAGTCTTCAGTGTCACATGATCCTTCAGAAATCAGTCTAATATGCTTATGCTGTTTAATTATTAATGGTCCTCAATTATTATTATTATTATTTTTATGTTTAAAACAGTTTTTGCTGCTTAATATTTTGGTGGAAATCATGATAAATTTTCAGGATCTTTGATGAAAGTTGAGAAAAACAGCATTTTGAAGTAGAAATATTTTGTCACATAAATGTCTTTACTGTCACTGTTTGTCAATTTAATGCTGAATGAAAGTATTATTTATTTATTTTAACTCTTGCTTCCCATATTCCACAAAATTATGAAGCGCTACAACTGTTTTAAGCGTTAATAGTACTACTACTACTACTAATTATAATAACAATAATAATAAATGTTTTTTGAGCAGCAAATTAAAATATTAGAATGATTTCTGAAGGATCATGTGACACTGAATGATGCTGAAAATTCAGCTTTGCGTCGCAGGAAACAATTGCATTTTAAAATATATTACAAAAGAAAACAGTTCCTTTCAAATTGTAATAGTATTTCACAATATTACTGTTATTACTGCATTTTGCCTTGGTGAGCATAAGAGAATTTTAGTAATTATTCCAAACGTTTGACCTGTAGTGTGTATGTATAAATAATTTAATGCTAAAATTTCAATTTAATAAAGTACGTAATATAATCAGAATTAAAAATTCTTTGTTTCTTAAATATTATGAAACCCTTCTTCCCACACAGTTGCAATGGTCCAATATGAATAAATGAATAATTGACTGCGTCTCACCGCTGTGGTATTTTGCCAGTTGGAGGGCAGGGATGTTGAACATCACGTCGCCCATCATCTCTCTGTAAATGTCTCGGACTTGAATGGGATCTCTTGTGTCGCCCAGGTACTCGTTCGCCACCAGATCAACGATCCATCGATCCCTGGGCTGATGGGAGTAACAGTCAAAGCACACAGGATTCAAAGAAAAACACACGTAAGCTACGTAATGTAAATGTGCATTGTGTTGAGTTGTGACTTACATCAGGATATGTGAGGGTCAGGCCCTTTATGGCTTGCTCTTTATTCATCCCATCAATCCATCCTTTACCCACAAAATACTATGGAGAAATAACATTCCACCTTAGCATCAAAATATACAACCAAATATGTGAATATGCTGTAAATGTGTCTGAGATCTCTGTATGCGTGTTGACTTCATACAATCTTGAAGACAGAAGGTTTGTTTCAATGACAGTCAAACAACATCTTTGATTCTAAGCGAGCGAGTTTGGAGTGTGATATTAAATATAGTAATAAATATCATTTTTACTCACTGCGGGCAGTAAAAAGCCAAACTCATCATCAGTAATTCCAGTGATGAGAGGAACTTTACTGAACTCTTGGTTCTGAACGATATCCTCTACAGGTTTGGGAAGGAAATAAGAATCCAGAGCGAGACTGAAGTGCATCATCGCAAACTAGAAACATAGTGGAAACAATCCTCACAGTTACCATCCATTAATATCAATCACATGAAATATAGGCTATATTGTACATATATTCTAAAATCACTTATATTATATGATTACATAATATATGATATATATTGAAGCATCATCCCTACACTGTGTCCAATAGCCCTTCCTGGTCTGCTTTTAAACTACTCCAAACTCAAACAAGAACAACCAGCCTGCCAGCACACAGAGCCCTGACCCAATTTTCTCTTCCTCTTTATGTCCAGACATTGCTGTTGTGAAGATAAAATGTCTGTTTTATTAAAAGTGCCATTGAAGCACAACAGTGACCCCTAGTTTTGGGATGTGTCATTTCTCAACGACTGAAGGTGGTGTGCATGGGACAATCACATAACATTCATGCATGCTGAGGGGAAACGTTTCTGAGGTGAAAGTTTATGTTTAATAAGGACTCAAACTAAATATTGTATAGCAACCAGAGCCTGTGGTAACTGCTGGGCTTAAAACGGTTCTAATGCTGTATTAGGTGGAAAAAATTAGTATGAGAAAGTGATAGACACTTTAATACTTTCAGTTAAGAACAATTGATATGATACGATATTGATATAATATGACTGATATGACAAGATTTTTTTATTGCTTTTCAAAGAAATATCACCATTATGCTCACCAAGACTGAATTTATATGATTAAAACTGCAGTAAAACAGCTGTGAAATATTATTACAATTTAAAATAACTTTTCTATTTTAATATATTTTAAATTGTAATTTATTTCTATGATGGCAAAGCTGAATTTTCAGCAGTCATTACTCCAGTCTTCAGTGTGGCATGATCCTTCAGAAATCATTTTAACATGCTGATTTGGGTCTCAAGCAATAATATTAGATAATAAAAAGAGCTTTAGTATTTAACCACCAATAATAATAATATAACAGAGCGCCAAATCAGCATATTAGAATGAATTCTGAATGATCATGTGACACTGAAGACTGGAGTAACGACTAGAGAAAGTACATTTTAAAATACATTAAAACTGAAAACTGTTCTTGTGATAACATTACTGTTTTTGTAGTATTTTTCAAATGAATGCAGCCTTGGCGAGCATAAGAGATATTTTTTTTCAAACGCATGACATATATTTGACATTGATTTACAGTGACTGACATTAAACCACTTAAGGCTGTAAATGTGCTCTGTTTAGGGTGGGAAATGAAATATCATTGAGGACAATGACAGATTTAAATAAAATCCTTTCCAATTTGCCTCAATATACCCTACACTGACTCATAAGGTCAAAGGGATTTGTTAGAAGCTCTTCTGGCAGAAGTGGGACTCACTTGACAGATAAACGTGGACTACTCCATTTGAGGCTTGAATAAGATTGCTTTTGATCCAGGAGTCAATGCAGATCTCTGGGTGGAAATGAGACAAGACCGATGAACACCATTCCTGTTTTACCTTGAAGGGATGTTTTAATGCTTCTTCAACCGTAATTCTTGATGTCTCTCAAACTAGAGAGGACAACCTCACTCAAGATCGATTCGCATCTCGGGAATTCCATAAGATTAAATATATAAAGGCCAGTTTTCCGCTGTTATAGCCATGGCGAAGCGGCTGAGCTTCTATGACAATGGACTGCTATGTCATTGTGCTCTGTTCCTATGGGTTTATCTTAAAATGCCGTCAAAGGTGTTTTAAAATGCTTTCTACCCTGTTTTCCATTCTAAAGTGATGAGTTTTGCAGAATAAATACCTTTGTGTGTGGCATTTAGTATTTTGCTGTGGATCAGCAAAATGTTGTACAGCAAAAACCTGAATAGTTGTTTTCACTAATGTTTTCACACAGGTTAAGTAAGAAAATACTAAGATAAAATGAACCACATCACAGGGTGTAGGTTTTAATGATGTATTAATATTTGTATATGAGTATGAGTATATATGAGTATTCTTAAAGGAATAGTTCACCCAAAAATGATTTGAGGTTTTGACCTGCATAGCGCATTTCTCTAAATGTAACCCATTTCTGAATAATGAAGAATAATGATGTCAGACATTTCATCCAACTATTATGATAAAATCTCTAAAATATGCAGCATTATGCAAAAAGGCAAATTTGTGCTATAGATAGCTCTCCGTTTAGTTTCATAATGCCTATTCATTTTTAGGGCCGAGAAGGCAGGTTTTTCCTGTATGAACTATGAAACCTGACCTTTGGAGGTGTTGATCCTCGTATCATAAGATAAACACATTGTGGCCTTATCTGCTTATGGTTTTTCATATGGATTTTAATTATCAGCGGCTGTTTCCAGAACAGTTTATTTTTTAATAGTTAAAATCATGGGGGACCTCACATAAAATGTATAACAAAGATATTTTTAATATAATATTTTTATTAATATTTTGGAGTTGATTATATATATATATATATATATATATATATATATATATATATAAACTCCCCATGTCTCTTAACAATTATATAT